GGAACAGGAGGCCATTCAGCCCCTTCTCCAGCCTGTTACACAGGGAATAGCAGGAGGCCATTCAGCCCCTTCTCCAGCCTGTTACACAGGGAACAGCAGGAGTCCATTCCGTGTGGATTTCCTTCCCCAGTGGTCGTCAGGGAACCAGATGAGTCTCTATAAGGGTTGATGGGAGATCCAATGGTCACCATTACTTTCCCTCCCAGGGTGACAGCCTAAATTCCATTTCCCCCTCTTGGGGAGGTAGGAGGGGGTCGACGGGGGACTCCGGGGATTCGAGCTCTGGCCCCGTTAGCCCTTGACGAACCCTTCCTGCGCCTTTCCACCGGGAGGCTCCCTGGGATGGACGGCCTCCGCTAGGAGGAGGGGCTGGGGGTGGGACGGGTTCGTTTTCCCCTGGAGCAGACGGGGCTGAGAGGGGAAGGGGGCCTGGGCTAGGACCAGAAGGGCCATTGGCCAAAGACGAAGTGGTTTAGGGTGGGTGGGGGGGGGGGGGGTGGTGGGATCTCAGGAAACATTTGGGGTGGAAGAAAAACGCTCTACACTCGCTGTGTCTGTATAAACCACGCAGTCGGCATAGGGGGCTAGGTACGACGGGCCACAGGGCCTTTCGCGATGCTGGGGGTGTGGGGGGTGGTGGGGGGGGAGCTTTAGCGGCTGCTCCCCTGCTCTGAGGAGCGAGACGGGTGGAATGGGCTGAAGATTTTTGACTGGGGGTGGGGGTTGTTCAGGGAAGTGGGGACGGAGACGGGGAATATTATCAGACGCTGGGGGAGGAGGAGAGGTTGTGTTGAGGGTTGGAATCTCTCTCTCTATCGATGGGCTGAATGGCCTTGCCCTGATGCAGTTCGCGGATGTCGCGGGGTTACCTGGGTGTTTGATGGATAGTTCCGCTGGGAGATGACATCCTCGGCCACTTTCAGCGCAGCTCGCCGCTCCTCACTGTTCGCACCCCGTCCTGCACAACACGGAATGGTCACTCACTGGGGTCTTTCTGACACACTCACAC